TAGTTCAGATTCCTGATGGGAGCTGTGCTGTTCTTAACCTTTACCTCACAAGTCACATTTCCTCTAAGAAGCCTGCTGATATGTCCTCATTCTAAAGGAAAACCTGAACATGACTAATAACCACATTAGAAGGAGCAGTAGAATTTAAACAGCAGAGGCTGAAATTATGACTAATTTTTATTACAATTATCAAGATAAAATGTTTTCTACGAATCTTCTGCCGTTTAGTATATTATTCCAAAAAAAGGCAGACATTTTTTTTTAGAAAATACATTTTCATAGACTAGCAGTATATAGCTACAAAATCAGCTAGATGCAACTGAAGCTGGACACGAGACAGTGGCTAAATACCTGCATTTGTGTTTGAGCCTTGAAGAAGAACTGTTAAAGTTTCCATCACTAACCACGCCAGCTGCTTTTGGTCTTCCATTAAGCTGTTATTTTTAGAATCACCTGTGAACGAGAGGACAATAGTAACAAGGCAATCTCATATGAAAAGCATTCAGAGTTAAAATTGGGACACTGCTTAAATAAAAAAATATGTGCATGCTTCCCCACCTTGTTCATTGAAAGCTTGTGTGGGATCTTTCAGGAGAGCAGCATATTTGTGCAGAAGGTTGACCATGACCTCCAGCAGTCCCACTTCTCTAAAGACGTCACCGAAGATAGGGTCATGACGGCTAAACTTGAGCAGTGTCCGCACAGCGGTGATGCTGCACTGGTATGAAGTGCTGGACTTCAGAAGCACGCTCACACTGAAGAGTTCTTTGCAAGGGATGTAATTCAAGCTGAACACCACAAACTCCAAGAGCTCAAAATATTTGCCTTGTACTTCCAATTGCTTGGATATCTTTTCAGCAAACTGAGACAAAGTGTGCTGGGATTCCAGAATGAAGTAATTAGCGTTATCCGCCACGTAAATATTTGAAATAGCATCCAGAATGATTTGGGATAATCGGCTAGTTTTAGCTTTTAGAAAGGCATTCTGAAGTACTGAAAAGGCCTGGATATTCCTCACTGCATGACCTAGATGAGAAAAAGGGTAGAATGAACCTACTTTTGAAATATGTATACAAATCTGTAGGTTAGCAAGTTTAGTTTAAATGTAAGTCTTTCTAAAACGAATTAAAGAGTTCAATAAAAGTTTACATTATACTTAAGAAGAAAAGAAAATGTAAATATAAAAACACTAAAATGATTTATAGTGCAAACATAAACACTTTCTTACAGATGTTTGTGTTGCTCAAATTACTGTATATGCATGCTATATTTTGTCTCTACGGAAATAAAGTAGCGAAAGCAACAATTAATGTTCACGTGCAGTGAATAATGGTCTGCTTGCATAAAAAAAGACCGCCTCTCACCTCGTACACTGTAAATTAAAGAAGTAATTTATTAATGCTGTTTTTTTATGATTTACTTGAAACAGTTCAACAATCACTTCACTTCAATCTAACAACTTGAGATGGAGTGCTAGATACAATGCGTCAAACAATCAAATGTTCAGTCTTCTTAGGGTTCTTATAGAGAGAATCTGACCTAAAACAGTGAGAACAGACAAGTACTGCAACATATATATAGTTGCACATAGCTCGATTAAATTCAACATTAATTTGCATTTTTAGGGTTTAGACATTTAAGTTCCTGACTTTTTCATAAAATTTGTGTTTTTAGCTTTCTCAAGTTCCTTTTGTGAAACAAGAATTACATCACCGAGTACCTCTATATTCAAACTGCACTGCTCCTGCATTATAAATTGTTACTGTTCCGCCTCATTCTTGGTCAAAATACATGAAAAGCTCTCCAAACAAGTTTTCATCATCCTTAAATAAAGCTGTCAATATTTATTTGAAACTTTACTGTAATTTGCAACGTCCTTAAAACCCATATTAACATATCTGCCTTTAGGCCTAAGTGCTCAGAACATCAGTTCACGTTTGTTCCTTAATTTGTTTTGCATCAACAAAAGTTTCAAATTTCTGGTTCAGATCCTGAAGTAATTAGTTTACTTATTCTGAAATAGCCAAATGTCATTGGGCAGAACCATTAGGTCATAAGGTCATAAAACCGCAATGATGTTGTAAATTAGCTGTTGTTAGGATGGATGTGTAGATTTTTCAAGTGATCACTTATTCCCATTTGTTATTACAGCTGTATATTGAATACACATTGAATTTCAGAAATCATGGTCATTCATTCAATCCTCCAAACTAGATATTGCTATGTTAAGCTTATTTGACTTATGTTAATATGCAAAGGGGGCTACTGTCAAAACACAATATCGTTGTGACTTGGTGAGGGGGGAAACTGAAGTTAGCAACATTTTCATTACAGCTTGATTTCATAACTCAAAAGGTTTTGAAAAATAAAGACTGTTTTGGCATTATTTACTGTACCTAGCTGTCCCTGGGCTAGGAGGCAAGTAAACATGGAAGTGACACAAATGATCAAAGGATGACTGCAATGATTGAGTTAGTTAACTTCACACTAAATCATTAATATATCCATTATACAGAATAAATAATGACTGGGCTGTTCCAATGGAAGTCATTTAGCCAGCCTCCAGAGGAATGGAGCACAGCACGAATATAAAAGTGGACACACAGAACAAAGAGGACAACAAGGAACAAGAGAGGATGGGAGAATAAACATCACTCAATCATCATTATTCACCATCTTTGAAATTGACCAGTAGGAGAGATCCTTTTTCTAATCAGTCTTGGAACCAGATTCTTTCTATGTAATTTGAGCATTATTATAAGAGAGCTTGGTGTCTTCTTTATTTTTGGAAATTCTGATTGCCATTACTTTAGGCCCAAAATGTTCTTTCCGAATTCTGTGACAGATTGTTAGAACTGGGAAATTGGCTCCCATTCAATTATGGGCATCTAGGTAAGCAGAAATACAGGTCTTCTCTTATTGATCTGTTCAGGTGTTGTTGTGGTATACTTACATTATAGGGGAAGAATTTTGATCAGTGATTGGACATAGCTGTATATACTTGTATATTTGAATATACTTTTGTTCAGAAATATTTGTTTGTCTAAGTTGGGACCCGATTTTGACTAAACCATCAGAGGTGAGCAAGAGACATAAAAAGTACACAAGTGTTAGGTAACGTTTAGTTATGTCCTGTCTGCTATTTTGTAATATTATTTATCACATTGACAAAATACTGTACCTTCTAACTTCATCTTAAGAGATTTTCAATAACAAACGCATACAAGTCTGTAAACAAGAATACTAGTATACAACTTACTATACTAGTTAACACAACTTAAAATTAATTACTTTAAAATGATACACAAAAAATGTATTAAATGAAATTCTTTCAAGGTAAAAAATTGGGCAGCCTGGGGTAAGTACTGTACTTGTCCTCGAAGAAACAAACATGACTAGGTAATTGCACTAACTGGGATTTTCAACTGGACTTAAACTAATCATGGCTAAATATATTATTTCAGTCAACCTTCTCAGAGTATCAGTAGAGAGGGCAGGATAAAAAAAACACATAGAATTAGGGAAATTTATAGAGAGAAGAGAAAGAAAACGTGTTTCTTGTATTGAGACAAAACAGAATGAACTTCAGAACTAGAACTTGGCCTCATGCAAGGGGCCATTTACTTATACGTACGGAAATACTAATTTCCAATTTGTGATATTCACTGGGTTAAAATAAGCGTCTCACTTGTTTACTGATATATTATTTGAAATAGGAAAAAAGTTCCAATATATTTGCCATTTGTTTCAGAAAGAACCAGCCCTGGTAATCCTGCTGATTAGGATCTTTATTTTCTAAGAAACACTTTTTGTATGCAGCTCTTGTGTCTCTTTTGTCAAGCTCTGTGATCCCATGCCTATAAAAACCAAGACCCTTTTACAGACAGCTGTAAATACGTTAGATGTGTTATTGTAAAAAAATGTCATTCTTAGGTTTTACCACCTGGTTATTACTTTGCTAGTACGCTATGCTGGAGAACAATGAAAACATGTCTCTTGTGATGTTCAGTATCCCCTGTCTGGGGTGTGTATACTTGTTAATCTGTATTAATTTTCTTGCATAACAAGATGGTGTCAGAACCTGATTTGATATTGATTTGATTGTCTTAATTATAATTGTCTTACTTGATTGTCTTATTTATAAGCCAACTGGTGAGGTAACAGATCATCATTTCATTCCCCTAGAGGAATCTCTAGAGGCTATGCTCTCACAAAATGTCTAACAACCCCTTTATTTAGAGTAATTACTCAGACACACCCTTAATTTGAAACAATATATGTAATGTCCACCCTGGAAACGTTTGTTAAATTCAGTTGACTCCAATCCCTAATTTAATTTTACACCGTGAAAGACTTTAGCAAAAATCAATAACTGAATATACTAACAAATAATTAAATAAGACAAACCTTTTCCGGAGGGCTGTGGCACTACAAACCCAGGTAAAAGGAAGGGTGCTCCTGTAGTGAGACCAGCAGGTTTGAGCTCATTCACACCATAAGTTGTCAGAGAGGTCACCAAGTTCACCAAGTCTTTCAGAGCATCTTTGGAATCATCTTCTTTTGCTTGTTCTAATCTGAAAGAATTAGAGAAATAAAAATGTAAGATTACCGACTTGTTATAAGAATCTTTTAAAATTCTTGCAGGCAAAATTCACAATCACTTCAAACTTAAGTCCACCAACAAATTTGGTACTTTGGTAGACAGAAACCTAAGAAGAAAGCTGTCTGCTGTTGTTTCATTTAAAAGGTATACATCAGTCATACACTTTATAGATAAAAAGAGAATAAACATATATGCATATACAAAGATATAGGATTGTTCCATGTTTCCACAAGACAGAGATTTTCAATTCACACCCAATCATGGAGGGTCGCAGACACTGACAGCTTTCTGTCCGGGGTTATATCATGAAGCTGAATAGCCTCCTGTCATTAGAGACCTCTCATACTCTTATGTCTTCAACAATAGAAAGCACAGATCCAATATGTAAAGAGGCATGGTCTGCATGAGACAGCTGTCTGAGCACAAGGCTTTGAAGAATCCCCTGTACATAGAACCTAGGCTAATTAGGCAGCAACATTCAGAGGTCAGATCCACAGCTGCAGAAGGCAGAACTCACTCCTGGTGTAGTTAAAGACAGGCAGTCTTCCACATAATTTGGAAACATTATAACACAGGCTAAAAGAGACTTCCAAATCTAGAAAATGTCCCAAACAAGAGGTAATGTCTTGCCTTCTATACCTGGTAAGATGTAGCAAGTAGGTAAATATGAACTATTGTGTGAACCATGAGTTTAAGAAGCATGCCTAATATAACTCCATGTTTGAGGAGAAACAGATCTTCGAAAGAAATGGGATTGAAGTTTGGGCCAGGGAGGGGTCATGGAGCTCCATCTTCACAAGGAGGTAACCTGTACTTTAACAATATGAAGGTGTGAAAGTACAACTTACTAACAAGGCATCCCAGAGACCTACGTCTTGACCACCCAGAAAAATTACAGACCGTTACCAAGTATTCAACTCTTATATAACACCTATAAAAGCTAAAAGAACAGAAAGCTACTTTCTAAACTAAACATTATACAACCTACAAATCTCTCTTTCACTGTAAATCTGGATGCTACAAAATTAAATGGAAACCTATCTCAATATTCTAAAAACGCACACACTAACCAGGGAAGTGTTTAACTGTGGGCTTCTCAACACGGGAAATCAAGGTTCCAATCAAATGAATGGCAAGCTCTCTTAAGAAAGTTCAAATAACTCCATTCTGGTCTTTCCAGATGTTCTGGACAAGGATCTCTCGCCTCTCTGTGTTTCTGTGTCTTGTAGTGTCTTCCAGTCTATTCTTTTGTCTCTCTGTACCTGCCTGTTTCATTTTTTGTGGTCTTTTAAGACTGTTAATGACACTAACATCATTTATGAAGAACTTAGTAACCTAAGGTAAACCAAGCAAACACATCCTTGCTTTGAAGCTCCAGAAAACTGGAAATGTTGACATTGTTGTTAACCATTGCATCTAGATTCTTAAAGACTTCAATAATCACAATAGCTATAACAATAACAAGGATGCATTCTACGGTTGCAGTGCTACAATGCAGCTGGATACAGCAGTGCAGGTGGTGATTGGTCAGAACCTAACCACAAGGAACTGGAGAGTGACGCAAACACCCGAAAATAGGGCTCAAGAGCTCTGGGATGGAGAAAAAATGAAGTGAAAGGGAAGTGAAAATAAAATAATAGATTACTAGCTAGCAGGGCTTAATTAGAGCAGATCGGTCAGTAATTAAAGAGAAAACAGCAAAGACTGTTTTATGAAGAAAAGCCAGCTGTCTGCAACTCAGGCGAAAAAGGGAAAAGGGCTGGCATAGAAAGATACCAGCCCCCAGAAGCATACCTCATCTCAATCTGTCCACTGGAATCAGGGTGAAAGCTAGTGTCAATCTCCCCGAAAAAAGGGGACCACACGTGTTATGTGGATAGCCCTCTTAATAGTCTGGGGTGCATGCAGGCGGACAGGCAGTAAAAAATTAAATAACAAATAACTGGCTGGCTGAGCAAGGTTTGCAATACAGCAAGAGAAAAGGAAAGGTGAGGTGCAACGGTCTTAGGGGAGCCACCAGGCATCACTGTGCTTCTCCCGAAGGCTCCTGTGAGAGGAGGAGTCTCATCGAATACCAGTAAGGCAGGGAACCCCCACATTGTGATCCATTTGGTGGGGCCCAGGAGCTGGTGAATCAAGGTGCACACCCTTATGGGGGATCTCCTCTGAGACCTGGCCAGGTGTGCTCTGTCAGATAGGTCTCCCATGTTCCTCACTCCAACTAAAACACCCGGGTACAGACGGAAATGGATACATAGGTGCCCTGTGGATCAAACGGGTGGAGACATCTGCTAGGAAAAGATATAGAAACAAGGACTGGAGCTTAGTCCCCTCTCATCTCCCGGACACTCAGGTCAGCACAGATGCAGGGAACGGTCCCAGTCCAACAACAAAGGAATGCTCAGGGAGCTCAAGCTAAAGGGGTGATGCTCACCAAGTGTCGGAGCAGATTCATGATGACTGCCTCCCTAGGAAAAAAAAAAGAAGACTCCACTGGGGAGCTGGAGAGTGGCTAGGAAAAGGAAAAAATAAAAGTAGAAAAAAGTGACCCATACAGCCTAAGAAAAGGTGAGAAAGAGCTTCACCAAGGGTCGGGTGAAAAAAGGCTGCCTCAAAGAGAAGTCAAAGGGCAGCATGAATGAGGGCAGTCGGAGAAAAGGCTAGCACAGAACTCCCTACAGAACAGGAATTGGGCTGCAAGGCTGAGGGATGGATGACTGCATGGACAGAGCCCTGGGGTCCTGGACAACGAAGGCTGGCTCCTGAAACGGGTCAGAATCGTTGGGGAAGAGGAGGCCAGCAGAAAAGGGCCAAGGGCAAAGGGCCAAGAACTGCAGTGCAGAGCGAAGATTTGGAGCTGGAGTCACAGTGCAAAGAGAAATGAAGACTTAAAACTGGAGCTGTAGTGCTTGGCAAAGTGAAAACCTGAAAGTGGAGCTGCAGTGCAAGCTGCAATAGCAGAGTGGGCTTTAAATACACAGGTGAAGGGAGACAGTAGTTAGCAAAGAGCCCTGTGTCGCTCACTCGGCTTTGGGAAGTGGATTCCTGCTGCCAAGCTCCCAGAAAAAAAGAGGACGCACAGGTTTGGCATTCCAGGGCGGCAGGACTATCCAGGAGAGCTTAACCCGCCACAGCTTCAGCCTGCTCGACTGGAGAAATATTGAGAGAGAGTAGAAGTAGTACTGCAAACAGGACAAAACTTCTTAATCAAGAAGCTCCACCAAAGTAGTGCCTCTACATTACACTTGGAAACAGAGCAACAGAATTATTAGAATCATAATTGCTTATTAGGTTGAATCACCAAATGAGGATTCTATCAGAGTGACAAGACCTGGAAAACTGTGAGCCCTCGGGCAAATGCAACGGTTTCTAAGGGCAATCACAGGCCAAAAGATGCTGCAGGACAGCAGCCATAAGATAAACCTCATGATTCTGTCAAGACTTCAAGGAACAGAAGTCTAAATTGATTTAAAGGATCACATCACTTCTATCACTAGATTCTCTAATCCACATCAGGATAAGAGACTCCAGTGATAGATGCCCACATTTAGGCAAGATTTCCACTGTCATCTGAAATATCTCACAACAGGTCAAGACCTTGAATACAGATGTTCAGGTCCATGCTGAAGGTACAGTAAGTGAAGTTCCATGTCAGTGTCGGGGATGGGTGATACTGGAAGGTCAGATGCAAAGGTCCAATCAGTGGAGAAGTAGTGTTAAGAGCACACTCAAAAGATAATGACAACATTTTGTCTGAATGGGAAAAGAACCATTTTGTTTAAAGTATCTGAAAATTGATTCTAGTTGCCTAACACACAAGAATCCAAGATGGAAATGAATCTCTGGCCAACTAAAATATCCATTCATCTATCCATTATCAAAATGATACTTACTCCTTTGAAGGACTACAACAACTCAGAACTTATCCTGGAAGCAAAGTCATGACTGAAACCTGGATGGAACGTCAGTCCCTTACCACAAACTAGCATATAGGCAATTTATAAACACCAACAAACCTAACCAGCAGGTCTTTCGAAAGCGGAAGTTGAAAACCTGGTGAAAACCAATGCAACCAGACAGAAGGTAGCTCTGCAAAAAACAAATCATGAACCCAGGAGCAATAATGCAGTGCTAACCTGCCAAACTCTAGGGAAAACAATATTGGTCTTAGTCTTCTTCTTGGAGAAGATTTTGATTTGTTGTCATTGCTGTTTTACCCTTGATCTCCATAAAGGAGCACGTTGGCAAATTAGAAGTATAATCTTTATTTAATAGTTATTTAAAAACAAAACTCATTTTTACCTTAGCATAAGGTCACACAAAAAAGTGTATCCTTGGCACATCCTGAAATCATCAAGCAGGGTTTGTGATACATCACTCGAGTCTTTAAGAAAGCATGAGAGCCCAGCAAACATCTCCACGATCTCCAAAGGTGAAAGGTCATCAGACTGCTGCATATTCTGTATGCAAGTGGCCAAACACTCTTTCTCTGAAAAAAAAAAATTGTTCCAATCAAAATGGTATGTCTGACCTCAACAGACCTGAAATTATAAGAAAGTTGTTTTTACATAATTTTCAGGTGACTGTAATTGGTAATAATATATGTAACAGTAAAAATGTTTGTAAACAACAATTTTCTGTTTCACAAGCCCTACATTTTTGCACCCCAAAGCAAATCATATTGTTCATAAAGCTGAAGTATCAGCATACTGAAGGGGATACTGCCCCTGCCACTGGCCCTTGGTTCTGCCACTGTGATTAGAAACAAAAGATTTGTGGGAGGGAAAATGACTCCTAAAGCCACAGAAGACCAGTGGCCAATTGATTCCAAGAAAAAATATTCCACTTTGTTTCATGCTAACAATATTTTCACTCTGTGTTATAAAGAGTGACGATGATTTGGAAATGGATTAGATGTGTATGCAGTTGCAGGACTTGCTTAGCATTACAATATTCTTGGATGTTTTTTTTTATTATAGGTTGCAATGTTTTCTGAATTCAAAGTAATTTGGAGACCAGGAAACAAAACTAATAAGGGATATTCTCTATGTGGTCTATTTTATACGCCTATAACCCTGTATTGACATACTATTGTACATACCATTCAGATGCATACAATTGTATGAGGTCCACACATTTCTCTGGCTGCTGATTTTTTAAATATATTGGCTATATATTTATATATCATGATTGTGCCTCTATAAACATTCTCTTACTCATCCAAAACGTGAAGTCTCATCATCATTCACAATAAAGTTGCCCTGTGCAACACATGAACTTGCACTGTTCCTTTGTTTTCTTGCATCTGCCATCCTCCACTGTTTGTTTTAAATGGGTTGTTGAACCATTGAGTGATCATTATCTTGCACTGCTTCTGCTACAGTTAGTGAGGGCTCTCCAATAGCGGTCACACTAAAAAACTTGCATATTTAAATACTATACAAGTAACAGATTTGAAGAACACTGCCATTTATGTTTAGAAAGGAAAAATAAACCAAAGATAAAAAAATATTATCTGCTCAGCACTTATAATAACTAGAAGTTGCAAACAACTATACAGCTTTATAGCCTCACATGCATCAGCTATCTGTAACCTTGCAAAACTAATCAAACTCTTCCTAAGATGTTCTTTTCAATAAATGTACAAAATAATGTATAAATATTTCTTTTACATGTAATATTTTATTCAAAACATAAATGCTCAAACTAAAGACTTCTAAGAGTGATAAGTTACAGTTAATGTAACTAAAGAGAAAAAAAATGAAATGTGTTGACTTTATACTGTAAGTATTCAGACCTGCGAACTAAGTATTGGGTGAACGTACCTTTGGCAACAATCAATATACTATTTTCTTTTTGGGTTTTGCTTTGAATTTGTGAATTAGTATGTATATGGGTAGGGTGGTGGGTGTCTAAACTCAAGGCCCAAGCTGTGGGCTCTTTCAATAAACGGGATGAAATTTCAGCTGCTAAAATTCCAATCAAATAAAATGGGCCACATAGCCTGCTCTCATATACTGCCATTTCAAACTTTTTTTATGTTTTACTAGCCATTCTGGCTTAAAATTCTATTTGAACAAAACTTGCAGATTAAGACCATGAAAACAGTAGGCTGACTTAGCAGCCCATAATGTTCACAGTGCTACAGCAATTGGACACGCACCATGTATGTATTTGACTACATTGACACTCAAGCCGTGCCGAGAGATTGTCATGAGCACTTCCCCTGCACTCTTCCTCCAGGGGAGGTTGTGGGGAGGACACCATGATGTTATTGCACTGAACAAGAGCTGGAGGTCATCCTTCTGAGCCAGCTCCTCTGCTGGGGACACAAAGCTACAGAGCTTCACAAGTATCTGTAAGAGAAAGAAGGGAATCTGTGAGGGTTGCTCAAAGTTGTTATCTCAATCCTCATACCCACCAAACTCACTTTAAAATACTGTCATGCCCTACAATAAAAACATGAAAATTGGTACAGTCAATTAACAATGTGACATCATATTGTTATAGCTCCCCCAACCCCTTCAATAATATCCATAGAATAACTAGAATTTCCATTTCTTTGTTTCCTTTCAGATGGATTTGTTCATCTTGAAACCCTGCTCTTTATTGACTTAAAATATGTCCCTAGTAAAGACCAAAAATAAGCATCAACATAGTCCCTTAAAATTTCAAATTCTAGCTTGATACTGCAATGGAATCACAGTAGTATGACATATGACAATGTCTTATTTGTATCATAAAACAGTTTCCGATTCACAACACAAAAACAATAGTTGCCAAGAAAATGCTGTATTTCTTCTTCCATGTGTTACAACCTGCTTTTGATGTATGAGGTACAGTATGTATAGACACCTTAATTTTCTGGAACAATTCGGAAAATCCTCCAATTCAAAAACTTCCATCAGAAATATTATATTACATGCCGATCCGATAGAAAGTAGAAAATAAACTTTATTTGCCTAAATTTAAATTTTCCTACTTTTACTAAACATTTACTGTTTATGACCTGTTGAATGTAGATTTACTGTGCTGAAAACTATCCTCTCTGTTCCCCTATGGTAGTATTTGTCACACTCAAGCTGGAATGTTACTGGAGAAATGCTGCTAAATGTTAGTTCATTTATATTCAGGATTTTCATTTAGCATGCTGTCCACATCATTATTACAGATTGCAATGTTGTCCGATTGTTGTCTGGTCAGCAGCTCACTGACCTGCACGAAGACTTTCTGTAGCAAAGCTCTGCGGTCGGCGAGGGGCAGCTCTGTCTGTGCTGCCCCTGGGGCTTCGGGCACATGGGGTAAGTCAAAGAACAGGTACAAACATTTGACCAGCGTGGATGGCACTGACATTGTAGTCATGCAGTCCACTGTTTTCTAGGGAAAGAAGCAAAGAGAAACACAAATGCTTTGTTTTTATTTGATTTTAAAAACCAAAGGTGGCATCAAGAAATCTGATTCTATCAACATCAAAGGCACATCCAATAATTACCTAAGACCACATATCTACAAATAAAGCACGGAGTTGGACCTCTAAAATCTCATGGAGAGAACAGAAACTCTGAACAGGGATGTCAAGAGCTTCTTCAGAAATGCAAAATTGAAACGGAATACAGAAAGCGATATATTTATCTTTTTTAAGATACACTGATAACATATATCTTAAGATATATATATTATCTCCACAATACATTCAGAAATAAACTATCATGAAAAATACAAAATATTTTCTTCAGCAGGTGTACTGACATTTTGTTGAACAGACATGAAATCAGTGAACTAATTATTCTGATTTAACATTTGTCAACAACAGGGATGATCTGTGAATCTAATTTAATTACTAGATTATTAATGGCATCACCAGGATGAAGATACAGACTAATGAAATGCTAAAATATTTTTCAGCTAAAGCCTGAAGTACTTTACATTGCCCCAGACTCATCAAGTAGGGCAAAAACAACATAACCATTACGTTCTTATCTTCCAAGTCAGCCACTGTTACACAAGCAGCTTAACAATGGGCATTGTCTTGCTGGAATGTTGTCACATCAGACTGTGCACACAGAAAAACAGCAAATGAGATACCAGGAGTTGATAAATATAGTGCTTTGTAGTCAGGTTGCCATCAATCCCTATAAGTGGAGTTCTGCAGCAAATAGACATTTTTGCCCAGACACATTTGGACATCTCCAACACTTTTAAAGTGTCCTGACTCATGGTCTCCCGAATCAGTCACAAACTGTGCTTGGCTGTAAAGTCTTTTTACAGGTTAGAAATTGCTGTCACCACATCAGATGAAAAGCAACAGTGCAGTGATTTGATTCTAGCCTCCAACATTCCAATAATATGAAGCCACTTGACATGTTGGGAGACCAGATTCATTTGGTTTTTTTTCTTTCATATTTTGCATCAAATTTCACATTGGTGACATTTAACATATAGTGATTTAGTGCTCATGTAACAGTCATTCATTTGTCACATGGTTAGTCATGAATGTTCAGTTAATCAAAATGATGCCAAAACATTTAATCAATATTATTATACTTTATCTTTCTAAAAATATTCTTGGATACACAGTGATGGGAGTCTTTGATGCGCAATATATATATATTGCATGACATAAGGTCAATTATTTTCTAAGATAAGCTTTAATTTTTTTTTCCAAACATACTCTCAAAATAAAAGTAGAAAATGTCATGAAAGTAAAGCATAAAAGCAATAACAGCATTTTCCCCTTTCAGTTTTATTAAAAACAAACAAAGCAATATAAGAAAGATTCCACAATGCCCAACATGCTCAGACTGACACAATGATCACATATCATGTGATTTCCGCATTGTCATTTTCAGACTCTTTTTAGCTATAAAATGTTCCCCCTACATACCACATAATAAAAAAAACATTTTAGAACAGTTATATACAGGTTATTATGTAAAGATATGGATAGCCTAGGATCTGAAGTATCAGAATGTCTAAAAAATATTAACATCTTACAGAAGCCGATTTTTAAAGGCAAAGCAACATATAAGAAGTAGATCATCTGTACTTTTCGGACAATGTATTAAATACTTGTATGTGTTTTATTTTTATGCGTGCTTAGTATGATTTGTGATTTGACTAATTTGGGGGAAAAAGCACATTCTGAAGAACTGTCAAAGCTAATTACCAGGGGAAGCTCATCATGATCTCTGAAACCAAAAGGAACTAGAATCGTAGGCTGAAACTTCCCCAACACTCTTCTTAACTGCACTTTCAGTGGCTTTATTTAGCACTTCTTTCTAGATTGTGCAACTTGGCTCCCTTATAGACAATCAGTGTGGAGACATATTACATTTTGCCAAAAACACTGTGTAAATTCCACAAGTATTCATTCACATAGAAGACCTGCAAGTGAGTGAATAACATACTTGGCTCTTCAGAAGTATTCATCTTGTTCTGATAAACTCCCATTGTTGAGTTATAAATGATGCACATACAGGTTTTTTTAAGTGAATATGTTCAATCAAAACTTGAAGGCACGTAAGGAAGTCTTTTAAAGATGAAATGAAGGTCAAATGTCAAATGCAAAAAAAAAGCTTCCATAAAATAGCAGTTTCCGGAAGAAAAGGAGTGAGGACAAAAACAAAACTCAGCCTGCCCCGGTGAAACCTCATAGTGGGACAGGAGAAAAGAAAAAGAAGCAAAATTACAGCCTCAACGCTCTATTCATAATCCCCTCCGGGACTGTTGCTGGAATGTTCTCCCCTTACGCTCTTAATCCAGGGCTGCAGGTTTTTTTTGCAAAAGTCACTAGCAGTTTTGCACACTGGGATTATGCCCATTCTTTTTGAGAAATTGCTCAAGCTTGGCATGTTGACTGTGGCAGTAAATGGATAATCCTGCCACAGATTTTCAGATTCAGGTCAAGATTCTGATTTGAGTTAGTGGCAAAGTAACATAAGCCTTGACATGCTGGAGCTTTGTCTTGCTTCGCCTCTAAAAGCAGTACATTCAAATTTCTGCCAGAGAAATTTCTGACGGTTTGTGTTAGACATGCCTGCACTCTTGACCAAGAGCAGTGTGCCTCACAGTGACCTTCACTATCAAGTTCTCTTTCACCAACTTCAGCAGTGCTTCTTATTATTACGTTATTTTTGACATCCTGAAATACTGCCTAGACACTTCCTCATTGGAAATTAATTTCAGTGCATAATACTCTTCCTGCTCCTTTTCATAGACTTTCATCATAAACCACTATCTTCTTAAAATCCTGATGCACGTTACTTAATAAAAATATACTTCCATTTCAGTTGACACTATAGATTATGATTCTGCATAAGAGACACCCACTTATTCTTTTATTAGTAGAGGAGGAGATTTTTTTCATGCAAAAGTGAAATGGCTTCCTGCGTGGGTGTTTTCCTAAGGGAAAGGAATTGTCTTTGGGATTTTAACACACAGGTGTTGTACTGTATACTTCGCATCAAAACAAAAAGTGGAGCAAAGCACTGTGATTTAACACATTTGTATGTCCCTCTCCTGACAAAGCAAAGAAGAGTTAGGCGACATTATTGGAAGAGTAAATAAAAGACATAAAGCAAGAAGAATGGATCAGTACTAGAGCAACAAATTTGGAAAAGAATTGCAAAAGAGACTAAAGAAGACCGACAGGAAATTCTCTTGGAAAATTGTAATTTGTGGGAGCAAGAATATGAAGATAGGGATTTGTGGAAGGACTTGAGCGAAGCCCTTATCTCATAGCACACTTAAAGCGGCTGATGGTGATGATTTCTATCATCTTTCCGGAAATCTTTATTTCTTACATACACAATTAAGAGTTGCATGCAATTCCCTGTTCTACTTTCTTGTATATTTTGTACTTGCCTCACTATTTTATCAAAGAATTTGATCATTTTGATCAATTTAATCAAGAATTTTATCATTTCATTTCTTCACAATCTACCTTGGGAAACTGTCAAATGCTCGGAACAAAAACCTACCCATGTAAAGTTTTATTCATTAATAAAGCACATAACGGTGATGAAGAGGATAAAGCAGACAAACTAAATTATTTAAGCAACAGATGCTGTTATAACAGACATTGATAAACTTCACCTCCTACAATCATAAATCTGATTTTAGTTGAAATGTAAACAAAATGATAAGTACTTCTGCACAGTCTTTAGTGTGTGGGAGATTTTCAACAAAAACTCACACAATGCTTATTCATGTAGATGAATCAGACTCTCAACAACAATACAAATATGTATTCTTGCTTTCTTTTCAGAAGACAATGCAGAGGTTGTTTTTAGGTTACAGACCACATATATTTTTCATTACAGGTTTACTGACAGAAATCCATTTATGGATAACTTCATTTTGTATTTTTTAAATAACATTTCTAAAATTTTTCTAATCCAAGTTATCATTAGGACAGGAGATGTGTTACCAATGTAAACTTTATAACTAAGTTTTCTTTATTGAAACTACAGGAATTGAACACTGAACAAAATACAACTGTATATCTCTCATGGTATATTATTATGAAAGGCTCACACATTTCATGTAGTGAAAAGGCTGATCATTTTACTACTTTACTATTCTTTCAAGTAGAAGATCCATGAGGTATGCTTATCAATCAATATGTCGCACAACAACATTTCTAACAGCTAATACTGTAGCGGCAAGTCTTATTAATAATACAGGAATTAAGCTTGCTGCTCCCTTGCCAGTCCCTCTCTCCCTCATCTCAGTGGTGCTGGACACAGAGAGGCCATTCCATTTGGTTCAGATTTAAGGTGTTTTTTCTGATAGAGTTTCCTGATAAGGAACAACTCCCAATGCTGAGATTATCCAGTCACCCTAATAAATGGTCATCTCTGGCGCCTTACTATCTGGGAGATTCCAAGAGAGAGTCTCATCCCAGGTTGCTTACGTCCCTAATGTCAGAGAGCATTGTTACTCATCCTCCACCTCGATCAGCCAATCAGGAACTGGTAGGGCAGGGTAACCCCATGTGGGTCTCGAGTGCCCACGGAACATTCAACCAATGAAGGACTGTAGTTCCTCCACATAAAAGAGGCAGCACAGGGCCCAGAAGGGGCCCCTCCAGGACATTCTCAGACTCAGCTTGGACAAAAACGTGACGGCCAGTGTGTCCGAGTGCCAGGACTTTACCTTGTTCTAAGAGTCGAGAACGGAGGTCGCCTGCACGTCGGACGGATCCACCTGAGGTTAGCCCAGCAGCAAGCCTCGTGAACTGCCGGTACCCCACCGCAAACGCATGCCTGATCAACGAGTGAACTCCAGTCGGAACTGTCGACAGCTGAACCTCAGTATTCAGGACTAGCGCTACATAGGGAACGAACCGGTCTTCTTCCCGTCTAAAGAGTGTGACTTGCTTGGACCCATAGTCATTTTTCATGTGCACAAACTCTGCTAGTTAAGCCAGGACTAACTAGCCAGTCTTCAGAGAGCCCCCTGCCAGCGCTCCGCAGCAGGAATCTCTCCCTCCTTCTCCCACACCTCACGCTGAACCAGGACTGCCTGGCACAGGGCCAGAGAATGCCGATTGGACACAGAAAAAGCCTGTCGCTGTTCCCTTGTGTCCGCGGGAGATCTGACTCCACACAGATTGGATGAGTATTCAACATTCTGCATTACAGCTCGAGAATTAAATTGTTTCCTCAACCCAGTTGATGTCAATTTAATTCCTATGAGTGATGTACTTACTTTAAAGTATCTAGTGTAGAAGTTGTAATCAAAGCTCATTTACGAAACGGAATACTGAATGTATGTCCCTCTTGGTATTTGTAACTCTTCGTTATTGAATATATACCTTTTGTATTCTGCTAGCCCTCACTATAAGATCTGTTATGTTTATATGCACATTTTATATATTAATAAATGTATTCTTGGGTATTTGTATCTGTGTGTGTGCGTTGCTGAGTCATTCCGCAAGGTCGGTTTTCCAATAGCCATCAAAGAATCATTTTGTGACTTACTGCTACAATAATTGTCCCAGTAAATGCACAAAACCCCTACAATACAAAACAAAAACATTTTCATTAACATATTTGTGCTAAAGGTTTATCTTTTCAAATTTGTTTATGAAAATGCATGTTAATCTCAAATTGTTCAAAATCCCAAACATCAAGAACAAGACCAGAAAAATGGTCAAACTAAAACGTGAAACTAAGAAAGTGCAGTTGGCACTTCTTTACCCAGAGCTGCAGGAGACTGGATCAATCTACCCTGTCATGTTCTGTCTTTTCAATGAGCTTATAAGAACCTAATCTTTAATTGCAAGCTTTTTTATGTTCTTAAAATAATAGTGCTAGTAAAGACTAAGGTCAAGGTTACATCTTTCATTGCACCATGGACAGTCACTATCATATCAGACACTGAAATATTACTACTGACCTTTGGTCAAGAGAGGGTGGGCTTTCATTATCTGTTAGAAGGCAGCACAGAAATCAGCTGGCAAAAGAATTAATTCAATAGCGCAAAAGCTGGCTATGAAGGGAATTCTTTTACAGTGTGAAGAAAAGACTGCTGTTCTAATTACGTTAAGAGTGTAGGTGCCAGCAAGACATTTGTTACAGTTACAGCTTGAAGCTCTAAATAGAAATCTTTCTCAGAATTCTTTAGTAAATGATTATAATTGTTACAAATTGAAAAAGGGACTGAAAAGTGTCGAACCTAAATTTGTATTTTTCTTCAAACTAGATTAAAAAATGACCATTTTAAGTCAAGACAAGGTGATCTTCCCAATATTAGTTCTAATAAAAATTTTACCCCTTGTCTTTCTAGAGAAAAGCTAAGCTATCTGCAGTCTCATTACTGTAGGAGCCTTTTACAGTCTTTGATAAGTTGACTGTATATTTTCTCATTCTTTCTAATTTTCAACAACTGACACATTTAGCTATATTGTAAAGAAATCTTGATGTATTACTAAAGTTCATGACAACCATAATATTAAGACATCAAACATCAACAAAAGCTCTAAAACAGTTTTGAGTTGTGGACAGAAAAGCAGCCTGCACAAACACACCTGTCCAGAAGATGCCAGCAGGTTGATGGTGGTCAACAGCATCCACCCTCGGCTAGCCTCCTCGCTCTGGTTCACCTCCAGGAATTGAACTATGGCCCGGCTTGCTGCCTCTGCAAGAAATAACTTAAAACTTAACACTTCAGAAGGAACCTTTTACTTTTCTTGATTTAAACAAATCCTCAAAAAACATATATACATATACATATATAAACATGCCCACAAAACTTCTGTCTTGAAGTAAAGGAAAACTAAAAAATGTATAATTCAACACCATCTGTCAAAATCAAGTCTAGCTGAAACAAAGCTTTAATAAAGTATTATGTGTGTGCTTGTGATGTAGTCATCATCTTTGACATAAACATGAAAGTTTAATGGATAGTAGGACATCAAAATAGACAGTCACTTCATTACACTGTAATGTTAAGTACTGTGAAATTAATAATAATTAATGGGGAAAACTAATGCTGACAATCATATATTTGTTTAGAACTAATTTAGGAAAAGTTTAATTAGCGGAATGTCCATCAGACAGAACTGCCAGGGATTAATCATAAGCAATTCATTTGAAGCTCACTTCATAATTATTCTGCCTACTAAAAAGTAAAATATATTTGAACATTTTTAGTTTTTTGAAAACATTCTATTCAAAATATAAAATGGCAGGGTATTATGCAATGTTTGTCACAGTACAGTTGAGATTTGTTCAGCCTTTTTGATTGTATTGATATTTTACCCTAAACCAGTGGTTCTCAAACTTTTTGGACCAAGTTCCACCCCTAATCCAACCAAAGCATCCAAGCATCCACCTACAAGTCATCTTCTCATAGGAATCCCAGATATTCTCAATGACCAACATGAGCGTGCGTGCACACACACTCATACATACATATAATAAATATTATAATAATAAACTTTATTTGATATAGCGCCTTTAAAGGTGGCTTCTCAAAGTGTTTTACAGGAAAAAAAAAACATTAACAAGAACTAATAAAAAAGCACCATTTCAGTGAGAGGGGTGAGCCTGTTAAGTTGAGCAAAGCAGATGTGAATTAATTTTTCGAGCCTTGATACAATTCACAACAGAGTCTAACAGATATTAAATCGTCAGGCATTTTCTTGACGGCAAAGGTCTCGCAGTGGATGTTGTAATGCGTCCATTAATTTCTGGAGCAACCTAATTGGTGCAACTACACCGCTGTGTCAGCTTGTCATTGCTCTAGCACCGTCTGTACAAACTCAGACGCATTTTATCCAGTCGAGGCCATTCTCTTCGATAAATTCATTCAGAAGCTGAAATATGTGCTCTCCTGTAGTTCCTGTTGGTAGCGGTTTACAGAACAGAAAGTCTTCATGGGACATGCCCTCAAACTCGTATCTAACGTAAACGAGCAAATTGGCCAAATCGACTACACTCATCTAATTGCAGTGAAAAACATCTGCTCATCTTAACGCGCTCTATCATCAGTGTACTTTTGATATAATCCTTCATTTCAATAATTCTATGAGTGACTGTGTCTTTCAGGGGGAGGGGGGCAGCAGGTCGAGCTGTTTAGCAGCCTTTTCTCTACACATAATACATGTCAGCTCTTTTGCCAACGGTAAATAAGGTTTTTCAAAAATAGTGTAGCTTACCTGCTTTAGCAATCTGCAAGCTTGCATTTTTCTGCGTTTCCATTTTTATTTCCGTATTTAAAGTTTTTATTTCATGCGCATGGGAGCGAAACAGAGAGACGCTCAGTGTATTTTTCTCAAATTAGAACAGTTCTTAAATATTTTTCTGTTATCACGCTTTTGTGTGCACACAAGACTACCTGCGTTCGTAGCACGTATTTCTATGCATTCCTGTGTTTACAACGTTGGCATGGTTCCAAAATCACGCACATTCTCCTTTCTCACTATTTGCTGGAGATACAATAGCTTTTTTTAAATAAAATTGGTCACTTGCATCCGTAGCACGCATTCCTATAGAGTGGTATAGAATTACAGAGTATCTCTTGTGTCCACTGAAGTATTAGCGTGCACTGTATCGTAGTACGTACGCTGCGTATTCGACATGTATTAAAATACAAAATATAAAAACCCGTCCCGATTTTTCAGCGCACACGACACAGTTCCAGGGTCATTTGGCGTACCACTTGGCGGCACTCCACGTACCACTGCCGGTACGCGTACCACAGTTTGAGAACCACTGCCCTAAACTAATATGATATTCAGAGTAAAACAAGTCACTTCAAACTTAAGGCATAAAGTAAGAAAAAGATAGGAAAATATATGTGATTTACCTCTTTACTTACATAATTGTACATGTGTGACTACCCAGTATTCTTACCTGCATTCTAGGTATGTTATCATAACTAAGCTTTGAAATGGATCTCAAAAGACTTGTCAAAAGAATAAAAGAAAAATGCAAAAGAATTCAATAACCATCCACAGCAGTAAAAGGTCACAGGATAGAAAACCTTAAAGCATCTTTAATTGTTCATTTCTATATTCAGTGTTGTTGTTTTTTAATACTAATATTAAATGGTTTTTCACCCAATTACAAAGTCCTTTTGAATAGTACTCAATACCATCACCCATTATAACCAGTAAAACACCTCACCAGGTACTTACATTAAGTGTTATATGACTGAGGGGCAAATTAACATTGATGATTCATGACAGCCACAGCATAACCATAAGATGTATAATTTATTTACATCTAAAATTATGTAACACTCAGATGACAGCCACTTCATAAGGGCAATGAAGGGTGCTTCACGGTGCTCAACAGTGATGATTTTGTAATAAACACCTATTGTCACAGGGAGATTTACATGACTTTTAGCACGGGCAATTTAATTATTTTCTACTGCAGGACCTCTGGAAAAATGCATTTCGTGCTCATTTGAGTCAATGGTGGACATTTTGGAGGCTTATTTGATTCTAAAAGGAACAAGCTCATCAGAAGAGCAAGCTCTGTCATTGAGTCTGACCTGGACCCCTTGGAGGTAGTAGCTGAGAGGAGAATGATGTCCAAACTAGAAGCCATCATGGACAACTTCTCCCATCCCCTCTATGACAGGCTTGCAGAAATGAAGAGCACGTTCAGCAATAGACTGATTCATCCACAGTGCGACAGGGAGCGATACAGGAGGTCATTCTTGCCTTCTGCCATAAGACTGTACAACGCATCCACCTTGCGTCTGGGCAGAGGCAACATCGACAGTGACCTGTTTCTGGACTAAACGCATCTACACATCTACTGCTACATCTGTTCTCTTTCTTTTTCTTTTTCCCGTTTACAACCATTTTTGTGCAATATATGCCAGGGACCTGTGCAATACATTTATATTTATATCTATATTTACATCTATATTTATATTCATATGTGCGATACGATTTTTCTGTGTACTGTTCTGTTCTAGTCTGTTCTATGTGTGTCCGGACTGTGAGTAACTCTTGTATTGTATTGTATGTATTGTACTATTATTATATAATTCGTTACACTGTGGCTGTGTTGTGTGTGTTAAGCTGCTGTTGCACTGCAATTTCCCCTCACGGGATCAATAAAGTATCTATCTAAAGTACAGGAAGTTTTCTGATCCCTTGCCAGTCCCTCTCTCCTTCATGTCAGTGGTGCTTGGTTCCATTTGGTTCACAATTAAGGTGTTTTTCTAGCTGATAGAGTGTCCTGATAAGGAGCAACTCCCAATGCTGAGATTCTCCAGCAACCTAACAAATGGTTATCTGGCACCTTAAAGTCTGGGATTCCAATGGAGAGTCTTATTCAAAGTTGGTTTACAACTCTAAGGTCAGAGGGCATGGTTACTCATCATCAGCCAATCAGGAACTGGTACGGCAGGTTAACCCCACATGTGTCTCTGATGCACATGAAACTTTCTACCAATGAGTGACCTGCAGTTCCTCCAGGTAAAAACAGGCAACACAGAGCGCCTGTAGGACAGTTCCAAAGGGCAGAACAGTTCCCAAGGGAAACAGTTCCCAGGAGCAGAACATTCTCGCAGCACGCCTGCTGGACTTTCAGCCTCAGGGCTCCTCTTGAACATTCTCCGACTCAGCCCAGACCACCACGTAACGGCCAGTGTGTCAGAGTGCAGGACTTAACTTTTGTTCTAAGAGTCAAGAACGGAGGTTGCCAGCGCGTAAGCAAAGGATCCACCCGAGGTTTGCATCATCAGCAAGCCTCGTGAACAGGTCAGAACTGTGGACAGCGGAATCAGTAATCAGGACTAGCGCTTCATCAGGAACGAACCGGTCTTCCTCCTGACCTGCTGGGACCCGCAGTCACTTTTCTCCTGTGCAGAAACTCTTGCTAGTTTCAGCTAACACTAACTAGCTGGTTTTCAGAGAGCATCAGCAGCGAATCTCCGCAGGAATCTCCACCACGTCGCACGCAGCAACAGCAGCCTGGCACCGAGCCAGAGAGCGCGGATTGGACAGCAACAAGCCTGCCTTTGCTTCTTTGTCTGCGGGAGATCTGAATCCCCACAGATTGGATGAGTATTCAACTTTCTGCATTACCGCTCAAGAATTCAATTGTTACCTCCACTAGTTGATATCAATTTAATTCCTATGAGTGATGTACTTGTTTTGAGTATCTAGTGCAGAAGTTGTAACCAAGTTCATTTACGAAACGGTCTAAATGAATGATATACTGAGCGTATGTCCCTCTTGGTATTTGTAACTCTTCGTGATTGAATATATACCTGTTGTATTCTGCTAACCCTCGCTATAAGATCTGTTATGTTTATATGCACTTTTTATGTATTGATAAATGTATTCTCGTGTATTAGCACCTGTGTGTGTGCGTTGTTTGAGTTATCCCGCAAGGTTGGATTCTAATACCACCAAAAGAATCATTTTGTGACTTCCTGCTACAATTAAAAATTGTCCCAGTAAATGCACAAACCCCTACATTACTGGTGTCTCATGAGAGGACGCTACAACTACCATTCAGTTATTTTAATATGCTGCTTTGTTTTTAGTTTGTTTTTAACTTAATTAATTTTAAAAAGTTAAACATGTGTTTGAGCTCATTTAGAGACATAAGCTTCCAAAGGCACAAAAAAGCTTTTTAGGAAATCATAAAAACTACCGAATGTTGAGTAATGCTAATTATTTGAGTAGTGGGTGGGGGTAAACAGAACACTGTTCAGCACTGAAATTAACTCTCTCCAAAAAGGCTTGGTAAATATCTTTACATTAGGATTTAGAATTTAATGTTTAGCTGCTCTAAATTTTTAATTTTGTTGGGAAGGTTTTTAGTGAGTTTAATGATCTCCCCCTGAAGAAAGTGTACTTGATAACAGTTTATAAAAAGATTGGTGTTAGATTACCTTAGATAGCTCACGAAACACATAAAGAGACATAATAGACAAATATTGTGTACACCAAACCATAAAATGCTTCCAAGTGGCTACCCACAGGGCTATTTTGCAAACAGAAACAACAAATAATAAAAATAACACAATGATATATTCAAATGGTGTCCAAGAACACTGAACTGATCCTGAAGATAATATGTGCTATCTATCAAGGACACCAGAAGCTGTCTGGCTTGCCTGTAACATTTTAATATGCCTAAAAGCGATTTAAACACCACGTGCAATATCCCAAGCAAAAGGAAACTAAATCATGAAAGTGAAGCTAGGCTTCATCTACAAATAAGTAGGGGCAAAGTTTAGAATTATGCCACAGATGGAAATAATTTGACCTCAATGCGGCAGAAATATAAGACCCCAAAAACCGAAATCTTATAGTACTCCAAGGGCTCTTGTTTTTTTCTGAATATTGATGACAAGGCCATATAAGGACAGTGAAACATACAGTGTAAGTTGTGCTGAACTAGGCTGCCTCTCTCCATCAAAAAATAAATCCTTTCTTTGAGATCAAAACAATTTAATGGCTGGGGGACTACTTTTCACACAGTTACCAAATTATTAAGATTATGTTTACTTTTCATTGTTACTTTTTCCACTGTATTTTTAAAATCTACGCAACATATGTACTAAATTAACTAAAAAACATCTACGCAAGTCCCTTTTTTAAATAAACTTAATTTGACTGTGCTGTGTTTAGAAAGCTTGCACCAAAACAGCAATACATTTTTTAACTGAACATATATTGATAAGCAGTATTATTTCATTAGAGCTGTGTGTAAACTATTTTGTATAAGGTCCTTGTTTTATAATGGGCACTGAAAATAGAGACAAGACAATTAAAGGTTAAATTAATAGTTACTCTAAAACAAAAGCAATTTTAGGTATTGCCTATAGTAAAATTCTCCTCTTTGATTGGCATTATTTGGATGATCAATTAGAATCAATTGTTAGTCATTGTTTTAATAAGATAAAGGATAAATGGCCTGGTTTTGATTTCTTTTTTTTATAAAGGAATGGCTTAACTATATGCAACAAAACAAAAAAAGAACAGAAGTACAACATGCTACTGTATATTGTAAGTAACTCAAGGGTAGCTATATTCCATGGGCATAAAATCATAACAGCAGGATCTCTGAGAGTCTCAAATGGCTAAGGTGTGTTCACACAATCTATGATTCCCAGTCAGGGAAGAAGGCAATCACTGGCTTTGGGCTGTGTGACACTTCCTCATTTTCCCATAATGTCATAGGTTCTGTAAGAGGACCCAGGGAAGGGTCATTTATAACTGGTATTTCCGGAACGAAACACTGAAAATACTAGATATAGACCTGGGCAAGATGGCCACCAAGGATAACCAGCTGACCCGCTGTTGGAAAAGGCCTATGCAGCGAAACAAGGAGACACAGCTGAGCTACATCAGGAAACAGAATATAAATGTCCCAGAAGTGGTGAGCCAGCGCGGAAGCTGATAAGGTGAATGCATTTTTGAGGAAGGAGGGGGGGATTAGGATTGTGCTTGAAAGGAATAAGGAATAACGGACTACGGTTTACGGTTTACGGTTTACAACTACGATTTACGGATTACGACTTGGTTACGGTATGGATTGGTGTGGACATACGGACTTTGAAATCTGGATTATTTAAGGATACTGGAAACGGATTACGGATCGGAATTGGAAAATGTACGAACAAAAAACGGAGAATATCAGTGTGGTGTGAGTAACATCCTTTTTACACCTGCTTTTCCCCCGGCGACACCTTAGTTCGTAGTTGCTTCTAAATTATAAATAATACAAGCCAGACACTTAATTCAAAACAAAACTGTACCAATCAGCAACAAAATGCATTAATGTATAATTCAGCAGGTACTGAACTAGCTATTACATATTATTATTGTTTGCTGTTGCATGGGTTATAATTCAAATTTAAAAGAAAAAAATCATATTGTATATATGCTGCTGAAGTATCAAAAACAAATGTCTTCAACAGATTCTATTTTTTCTCCCAAGGGGTGAATTTTCTATTTTTTTTCTATGGGTGGCTGCATCAATAGATGGGACTACAAGAATAAAAAATCTATATTTTACTCAAACCAGAAACCAATACTTATTGTCATGACATCACTAAAAGTCTTGTGCATTGTGTATAATCAGTGTACAGGTAGTGGACAAAAAATGGAAACAAATTTACACCAAACCAAACATGTAAACTCTCTTTACTCTCTCACTATATTGGTGCACACATCAAACTGGTGTTAAATTAAAAATCCACTTCAAACAATGCAGCTATTTGATTGCATTTTTTTAAATCTAAACAAATATCAAAATAAACTTATGCTCCAAACCCGACCAGTCATTTTCCAAGATGATTAACGCAAAGATAAAGAAGAATACAAATTATGCTTGTATAGAAGCTGTTTGCCCAATGACCAAGTTGTTAAATTATATAAGTCATTTCTGATCTTCCTTATAGAAACCAGAGGATGCAAACATGTTTTCTGTACAGCAAAACCAGAAAGGTAAATTAAATTATATCCTTGAGAAAGAAAAAATATATTGATAATAAAGTGCTATTCTGTTCCAAAAAGGTTAACATTTCATGACTATTACTAGACAAGGACCTACTGCAGACCAACTGACAGTAAATAAGAATCTTAATACAGTGTCAGATGGAAGCACTAATGTACATGTACCTTGTACTCTCCACATGCACAACACATACCTGTTGATTTATTGGATGCTCTCCGTCTGATCTCTGTCACCATCAGCCGTGACACTTGAGTTGTGAACTGCAGCAGATCTGAAAATTTCTCAGTCATTGTACTCGGAGGAGCATTCCCAAAAACCTTTGTAACAGGGACGAGAAAAATACAGCTTGGCTCAGAAAAACAGTATCATGAAATAACACCAATGCAAATTTCAAAGCACTACAGTACATTTTGATTTTCCAAGAAGTCATCATTTTCATATCGGCATCACTGTTCATAAGAAACACAACTTAACAGAAATTCAAAGTGTTGAAGGTAAACATATACTTCGTTTGCGGACAGAATTTATAGATATTTACAATGTTTAGTGGTGGATCCATGTGTTGTATGTGATTTAAGCATTAAGATTGTGAAACCTTTCATGCCTGCCAAAAGTATAGTTAACAAATGGTGTGTAAACTTTGAAATACAAACATATCATAAGAAATGTTAATGAAAGCAAAGAAATTCTAATTAGATTTGTATCTGAAGATGTGGAGCAACCACAATTAGACCAATTTCACATAGAACTTGTCTCACTGTTCCACTTGTGACTAATGACTATGCCAGTTCCACATGACAATTGATTTTAAAGATGTGAATGGATTTGGAAGAGAGCAATTACCCACATACCACAGCATCTCTTCCTACAACTATATTTATGTCACTATATTTGTAAAACTACACAGATCAGTGTACTTTGTATTAAGAAAAAAATCAAATTTAACTAAAAAGGCTCACATACAGTACAATATTTCTAAGACATCTACTGTAATTTGCTAAGGCTACATACTTAAGATCTGTAAAGAAAATACCTTTTAGAAAAGAATCTCAGAACTGACCACAGAGCACATGCAAAACAGACATTTTATGTCCACTTCTGTCAATTGAATAACCTACAGATAATGAACACCATTTTTTCACCATGTTTTTAATGTTTGATGATTCCCCACACCAAAAATAAACTTCTTCTGTCTC